TGAGGCCTCGAGTAGGTCCGTATTATGTTATGCGACTTGTTGATATATTCGAACGGGGTCTCGAGGGGCTCGGACGTGTTTCGGATTGATTTCGGATCATTTTTCTTCATGTTGTTATTGCTGGTTGCTGCTGGTTCTGGAGTGACCGCACCTGCGGTTGAATTTGCGTTAGGTGCGATGGTTGCAGAAGCGAAAGATAGGGCACAGAAGCAGCTTAACGCGCATAGAAGCGCGATCGCAAATGTGGTTTGTGCGCCGTAGAAGCGACCACACTCACAGGTGCGAGCTTCGTCCACAGATGCGGAAGTCGCTGAGTAGAAGCTTTAAATTCGGGGTTTCGCAATTTGTAGCCATTTTTGGATTCTTGAGCTCGGTTTGGGCGATTTTGGAGAGGAATTTTTCCACACAACTTGGGGTAAGTGTTCTGGACTCCCTTGTGATTATATTCCATGAATTAAGCTTCGTTTTCGGCGTTAGATTATTAATTTTTCAAGTGAAATCGGAGGAATTTTCTACAATTTCATAAAATGAATTTTGGAGACTTGAACACCGAATCAGAGTCGGATTTGAGTGAAATTAGTTTGGTTGAACTTGTAATTGGATGAGTTGTCGGATTTCTGAGTTTTGTCGGATTCCGAGACGTGCGCCCCACAGGCGATTTTTGGAGTGTAATTTCGATTTTTATGGGAAAACTTATTTTGTTATGAAATTAATTCCTATAATTGTGTGGATTGAATCAAATTAATTGTGACTAGATTTGAGCCGTTCAGGAGTTGATACGCGCATAATGGAATTTTTGAGGCATTGTTTAGCTTGCTCGACATTGGATTCGTCTTGTTCGAGGTAAGTAACTCTTCTAATCTTGCAGCTGAGGGTATGAACTATAGGTGTCAAGGGGCTGGCCCGGGACGGTTAGGGGTTGGGGAATAGTAAACCGACTGGTTTCGTTACCGGGCCGGTTCCCGTTATTTTTTATAGGGTTAACCGGTTCCGGGATTTCCCGGTGCAAAAGTTAACCAGAACGGTTCCAGGTGTAATGGGTCGGGCCGGGCTAGGCTCTTTTTTTTTTTTGTATTTTGTATAACAATCTTAATTTATATTAAGATAAAGTTAAAATGTAAAACATTAAAAAGACGTATAAAAAGAATGTTTGAATAAATTTCAAAGGCTTTAAAGCTCTTATTTTAAAAAATTCATTACGAGTTTAAGATAATACAATGAACATGAAAAAAAATAACTTATAGTATAAATCTTATACTGGACATTGGTAGCTGACAGTAGCCAATTCAGCCCAAAAAAAACAGTCAATTGAAGAAGTGTAAGATTCCTTAGTGTGTTCAAAAACCTTTTTCTAAATTCTCTCGTAATTAGGGAGATTCTAATTCAGTAGCCATAATTAGCAGGCTTTTTTCACTTTCAAGGAAAAAAATAGCTTAAAATACAAGGATAGATGTCAACGCGTGGTTTGTCTTGGATTGGACATATCTTTATGACTTTACGGGGACATGCAACTTTAAAAAAAACTAAGCTTACTAAAGTTTGAACATTATTTTAGTAACAAAGACACTACTTCTTGGACATGACTATTGAGTTTAAAATTATTTTACAAAAACATAATAATATAACACAATATAGTAATTATAGCGTTGTCGATGATTAAATAGTTAAAATAATTAAACAGCCAAACCGGTCCGGGCCGGGCCGGTTAACCGATACCCATATGACTAGACCATAACGGGTCGTACCGATCCGGTTAACCGGTACCAAATATTTATCCGACAAAGTCCGGTCCCAGTCCCAACCCAGCCCCTTACTACCGGTCCGATGCGATCCATAACCAGTCTGGACCGGTCTGGAATAGGATCAAACCTGCCCGTTAAACACTTTTAGTATGAACCCTGACTATACGTGTTATTTGTTTGGTGTTGAGGTGACGCACATGCTAGGTAACGGGCGTGTGGGCGTGCACCATGTGAACTGTGATTTCGTTATTTCTGCGGTACTGTGTAGTTACCTGAGCTTATTTATAATCATGAAATCTCTACATACTAGAGTTATCGAGCTGTGATTTATGTTAGAAGCCATGTCTAGGCTACGTGCTTATTTTGTTGGGACCTATTGAGGTCATTACTGCTGTTGAGTTATTTGTTTACATTACAATGTCATACTCAATCATATTCATTCAGTGCATATCATATCTCAGTCTCTGTTGTTATTTATTGATGCATCATATCATGGTTTTCGAGCTAGTATCATGACACAGTGAGCCCGTGATAAAGAGACTGGAGAGATTGATGACTGAGTGAGGTTGAGTGCCTGATTATGAGTGACATTTATGGGATCGGGCTGCACGCCGCAGCGGTTATACTGATTTATGATAATGTTTGGGCTGAAGGAGCCCCTTCAGAGTCTGCACACATACCCAGTAAGCATGGTTGAAATTATTGAGGGATGGATCTTCCCTGGACATGGATCTTGTCCGAAGCATTTGATACCTGGAGATGGATCTTCTTCACAGGCTGGATTGGCCCTACTCGGTACTGAGTGACTGATGATTAGTTGATGTGTATATTCCGGGATGGATTTTTCCTGGGCAGGATTGGCCATATACAGTACCGAGTGATTGAGCATGATGAGTGGAATGTGTGAGAAAGTGAGATTGAGTACTGTGAGAGTGTGGGTACATGAGTTCATCTCTGAGATACATTGCATTGACATGCACACATGACATACATGCATAGAGATGTATTTTCCTCATGTTGTACGGTATCACATCATTCATGACGTCTCACACATGTTGACATAAGGGCATAGTGATGCATCAATTTTACACTGGCTATCTGTAAAGAAAATAAAATATCTTATTTATTATTGAAAGAATTTTTGGGAAAATTACTGTTTTCAAACTTATTCATATTTTGGCAACTTCGGTAAACGACTTGGGATTTTCACTGATACACTTGAAAGGCAAAGCTATTTTCAGAAATCATGATTTAGCTGAGCATTTATTCGTTGAGTTACTTCTTTTATTACTTGCTTTATGTTGTTATGAAATGTTGTTGGTTATTGGAGTTGGACTCTGACCTTGGTACAAGCTCGTCACTACTTTCAACCTAAGGTTAGGTTTGTTACTTATTGAGTACATGGGGTCGGTTGTACTCATACTACACTTCTGCACCCTGCGTGCAGATGTTGGCTGTTGATGTTGTTGTGTTCGTTGGGAGCTGGATCTGAAGATGTACCTGCGTTCCAGTTGTAGCTTTCTCTTGTTCATGGTAGCCTTAGATTCATAAAACTCTGTTTATGTGCTTTTCAAACAGATGATATATTTACTTCATACCAGCTTTGTATACTCTATTCTTAGAAGCTCATAATTTGTATTACCAGTCCTTGGGGAATGTATCAGATTCAGATATTTCTTTACTTAATTGCTTTATTAATTGTTATTGGAATTGGTTAGTGGTTAGTTGGCTTACCTAGCGGGTTGGGTTATGTGCCATCATAACTAGTTGGATTTTGGGTCGTGACACTTACCCTCATGGTGCGCTGGGACTGGAACCCATTGTCTTACCCTCAAACTGTCACGACCCAAAATCCAACCAGTCATGATGGCACATAACCCAACCTGCTAGGTAAGCCAATTAACAACAATCCAATTCAAAAGAGATTTACTGAGAGGAATAAAGATAATATAACTGAGCTTTTATATAAAGAATTTTCAAGGACTCGTAGTATAAATCATGAACTTCAAAGATTTAGAGTTTACAAGCTGGTATGAAATAAATACATCATCTGTTTAAAATATACATGAACAAATTAATCATTCTAAAGCTACCAAGAACAAAAAAGCAGATATGACAGGGATGCAAGTACGTCTTCAATGCCAGCTCCCACCATACACATCAACATCATCGTCCAAAATCTGCACGCAAGGTGCAGAAGTGTAGTATGAGTACAACTGACCTCATGTACTCAATAAGTAACAAACCTAATCTTAGGTTGAAAGCAGTGACGAGCTTGGACAATGGTCAGAGTCCAATACCAATAGCCAACAATAACTCATAATAATATACAAAAGTAGTATAGTAAATAACTCAAAGATATGATGCTCAGCTCGTTCACAGTTACAGGAATTAGACATGATTTTCAAGTATAATAGTAAAACTCAAATCTTTCACCGAAATCACCAAAATATGAGTAAGTCAAAAATCTTTGATTTTCCCAAAAAAAAAACTTTCAACAACAGGTAAGATGTTTAAATCTCAGATAGCATGAGGAAAGCACATGTCAATGTGCGTGCGAAGTCATGAATGTCACAATACCGTGTAGCATGAGGAAATACATCTCTCTGCATGTATGTCAAGTATACATGTCAATTCAATGCATCACAGTGATGAACTCATGTACTCACACTCTCAGAGTATTCAATCTCACTGTCTCGTACTCCCACTCATCATGCTCAATCCCTCAGCACACTTAGTCACTCAGCACTGTNAACACTTAGTCACTCAGCACTGTACGGTGTCTGTTGCGGCGCGCAACCCGATCCCATCAATAGTAATAAAGCCTGCTACGGCATGCAACCCGATCCACATATAATAATAAGGCCTGCTTGCGACGTGCAACCCGATCCACATATAGCCATAAGGCCTGCGGCGTACAACCCGATCCATATACAGCCATAAGGCCTGTTGCGGTGTGCAACCCAATCCATATATAGCTATAAGACCTATTGCGGCGTGTAACCCGATCCACATGTAGACATAAGACCTGTTGCAGCATGCAACCCGATCCTCATATAGATTACTAATATCCGCTACAGCGTGCAACCCGATCCCATCAATATCACTCACAATCCGGCCCTCAGCCTCAGCTCAGTCATCAATCTCTCTAGTCTCTCAGGATCACAAATCTCATGCTAATCAGCCCATTATATTGAAGGATTCAATGAATAGGTTATCTCTACCAAGGAAAGACCTATTCAGATGAATCATCAAATGATGGAAATTTGCAAAAATGAGATTTCAAATCTCCTCAAAAATAACATTATTCGTCCCTCTAAATCTCCTTGGAGTTGCTCTGCATTTTATGTTAACAAGAGTGCAGAGAAAGAGAGAGGTGCCCCACGATTAGTTATAAACTACAAACCATTGAATGCTGTCCTTAAATGGATCAGATATCACATCCCCAACAAAAGGGATCTCCTGAAAAGCACTTACAAAGCCAACGTTTATAGTAAGTTCGATATGAAATCTGGTTTCTGGCAAATTCAAGTAGCCGAGAAAGACAGATACAAAACGGCTTTTAATGTTCCTTTCGGTCAATACGAATGGAATGTAATGCCATTTGGGCTCAAGAATGCCCCATCTGAGTTCCAGAATATCATGAACTCCATCTTTAATGATTATAGTTATATGTCTATAGTTTATATAGATGATGTTCTTATATTTTCTGATAACATAGATTCTCACTTCAAGCATCTCAACACCTTCTTGAAAGTTGTTAAGAGAAACGGTTTGGTAGTTAGTGCCCAAAAGATCAAACTCTTCCAAACCTCTATCAGATTCTTAGGTCACGACCTTTACCAAGGATCTTATAAGCCTATTTGTAGAGCCATAGAGTTCTCCTGTAGAAGCAACGTCTTCAATCAATTGCATGATTTGATTTTCTTCATAATCTTCAATATTTTGTAAAGCTTGTTTCAGCTTTTCTTTGAGGGCTGCCTTGGAAGGTGAAGCTTTATGGAAGCTTTGCTAAACGGGTTTCTGAATTTTGGGGACTTGTGGTTTAGGAGTCCACCCCTTGATCTTGACTTCTTTAGACAGATATTTGATTCTATCAAATTCTGCCATGGTGAAATTCCAGCTGATGATAAAGGATATCCTTTTCTGGACAAAGTACTTGCACATTTTAATATGCTCTGGTAGAGTAGAAATGGCCTCTTTGGTCTGAAAATCATCAAACCTGCTGAGGAATTGTTGAGGGAGGATTTCTCTATTTCCTCCGAATAAGTTCCACCATTCGTAGAACCATCTAGGAATTATAGCTTTAGTAACATCTAAGCTATACTTGACAAACCAAGTATGTCCTGGCCTAAGATATATAAAATTAAACCATGCTGCCTTGTAATCGGTCCAGCAATAAGTCTGGGGACGATGTGTCATGGTAAGTGCTACTGGTGTGTGTAGGTGATCTGCAAACCACTCAAATGGTGATAAAATTTTCTTAATAGTAAACCTGAAATAATTAATAAATCCTGGTCTATTTTGACATGAAGTATGTTCTACTTCAATGGAATCTGTATCTATGAGGATGGCTTCATAAAATTTCCTCGTTTTGCATGGACTTTCAGTATCCACATAATTAAAATCTGTATAACATGGCTTGATCAGGTCTTCTAGTCTGAGACCTTCGTACTCCTTATCTAGAGCTAGTATAGGTAATACCTGGAGGGTAACATATTCTCTTATTTTTCGCTGCAATTTTCATAATGTTCAATCAATAAAACTATTGTAAGTTTTTAAAGGGCTTTTCTTATACTGACTTTAAGTTTTTTAATACTGCTGTCTCAAGGAAATAGACAGAAATATAACTCCAAAAGAGAGACTCTGGCTGCTGCTGAATGGCTCGGAAGGGTAGCTCACCGTGTAGTCTCGAGCTAGAAGTCAAGTGTGCGTGCCAGACTGGTAACCAGATGCACCTGCCTCAGATCGTGCACATCAAGTGCAGAAGTGTAGCGTGAGTACGTAAACAACATGTACCCAGTAAGTATCTAGTCTAACCTCGAAGAAGTAGTGACGAGAGGTCGACTTCGACACTTACTAAGGGCCAATAACATAATAATGTGAAGTTCTAATAAAGCAGGTAATATACAATAATAATAGCGCTCAAAACAAGAAGTAAGTAAGCAAATCCTTCTTTCAAGTAAGAATCAAACCATTTCTCTCATCTATTCCTTTCACCTTTCAAGTCCGTGANTTTCTCTCACCTATTCCTTTCACCTTTCAAGTTCGTCAAGTATTATTAAATATAAAAAGGGATTTCGGTATCACTACGCACGAGTTATGCCGAGAACATACGGCCCGATCCAAATATACATAATAATATATTGTGCACTGTCGAGGGTCGAACGGCCCGAACCATATAATATATCAATAAATCCTGCTGAGGTGAATGGCTCGCTCCCATGAGAGTAGTGGAAGTTTACCCCGCTCGCGGAATATATTTGCGAAGCGGTTGAACATATAATTTTTCAATTTATCGTAGTATTCCTCAATTCCTTTCTAAAAATAAGAAATTCAACTTGGAGCTTTAAATATTGAGACCTTCAACTTTTACTTTAATCCAACAACTAGTAAGCATAAACAAGCAACGGTATCAACAAATCATGGTGTAAGCCTAGATCTACCCGGACATAAACATGAATAGTAGCTACGCACGGACTCTCGTCACATCGTGCATGCGCAGCCCCCACAATTAGTAGTACATATTGATTTAAGTTCACCTATGGGGTTAATTCCCTCTTACAAGGTTAGAAAAGAGACTTACCTCGTCTCAAAGTCTACTTCCCGGTTCAAGAATGCGCTCACACCCTCAAGTCGGTGCCGAATCAATCCGAACTAATCAAATAATATACAAACTAATCAATACGTGGTCAAGAGTTCATATTCCAACTATTAAAGTGGTTACCCAACCCTAAATGCAAGATTCAAAAAAATTCACCCTCGTACCCACGTGCCCGGATTCTGAAAATTTTCGAAGAAAGTTGTTACCCATAATCTTAGAAATATAAATATATGATTTTTCACTAAGTTCCATAACCATTTTTGTGGTAAAATCCCATTTTTATTAAACCCTAGGTTTTTCATCTAAACCCATGATTTTTACCAATTTTCATGTTAAAATCTACCCATAATCTATGTATTAAACTCTCATTAAGTAGAAATTACTTACCTTACAAAGCTAGGTCGAAATCCCCACTTGAAAGCTCTCAAATCGCCCAAGAGTGGATGAAAATATGATAAAAATGGCCTAAGTCCCGTATTAAATGAACCCTCACTGCCCAGCGACTTTCGCACCTGTGGCAAATGCCTTGCAGGTGTGCCTTTCCCTCACCTGGCCGGGCTCCGCATCTGCGGACAAGGAGGGCCGCTTCTACGAGCCTAGCCGCACCTGCGACCATGGCTCTCGCACCTGCGCTCACGCAGGTGCGCCTAATCTTCCGCATCTGCGAATTCTGGGTTGCCCTCAATTTCTCGCTTCTACGGCTCGTGGCTCACACCTGCGAGCCCACACCTGCGGCTGGCCAAGCACAGGTGCGATTATGACAGATCTAGGAGCTTCAGCTATTGCTCCAAGCTCCCGACTTGGTTCGAGCCTCTTCCGATTGACACTCGGGGGCCCCGGGGTCCCGCCCGTACATACCAACAAGTTTAGAATCATATAGCGGACTCGCTCGAACTCCCAGAACGCTCGAAACAACATTAAAACTGAGAATCGCACCCCAAAACCAATTGAATCAAACTTATGAACTTCAAGTTCTTCTATTCACTCAAAATGCGCAACACCGAATTTTGCGTGCAAGTCTTAAATTACATTATGGAACTATTCCCGGTCTCGAAATTCCGTTTGGACCTCGATAACACCAAAACCCCCTCCAAACCAAATTTAAAGAACATCAAAATTCTTCAAGAACCAACTTTTGATATTAGGCACCGAAATGCTCCCGGGTTATCCAAAGCCCGAACCGAGCATACGCCCAAGTCCGAAATTATCATACAAACCTATTGGAACCGTCAAATCTCGATTCCGACGTCGTTTACTCAAAATGTTGACCGAAGTCAAACTTAGCCTTTTAAGGCCAACTTAAGGAACCAATTGTTCCGATTTCAAACCGAACCCTTTCAAATCTCAAACTATCCACCCCCGCAAGTCATAAAATAGTAAAAGCACATTCAGAAGTCTTATTTAGGGGAACGGGGTTCTAGAAAGCAAAATAGCCGGTCGGGTCGTTACATTCTCTACCTCTTTAACAAATGTTCGTCCTCGAACGGGTCTAGAATCATACCTGGAGTGCTGAACAAGTGAGGATATCTGCTCCGCATATCTCCCTTAGACTCCCAAGTCGCCTCTTTGACTGGTTGGCCCCTCCACTGGACCCTCACCGCGGAAATCCTCTTGGATCTCATTGGCGATCCTACCTATCAACAATGGAAACTGGATCCTCTTCATAACCCAGACTCTCATCTAACTGAATCGTGCTGAAGTCTAACACATGTGACAAGTCGAGATGATACCTACGGAGCATAGACACGTGGAAAATTGGATGAACTCCTGATAGACTAGGAGGCAAAGCAAGCTCATAAGCAACCTCCCCAACTCGCCTTAACACCTCAAATGGGCCTATAAACCTTGGGCTCGACTTGCCCTTCTTCCCAAACCTCATGATCCCCTTCATTGGCGAGACTTTCAAGAGAACCTTCTCGCCCACCATGAATGATAAGTCATGCGCCTTCTGATCCGCGTAACTCTTCTGTCTGGACTGTGCTGTGTGGAGTCGCTCCTGAATCAACTTTACCTTTTTCAAGGCATCCTTCACCAAATCAGTACCATACAACCTAGCCTCGCCAGGCTCAAACCACCCAATTGGAGAATGACGTCGCCGACCATATAAAGCCTCGAACAGAGCCATCTCGATGCTGGACTGGTAACTGTTGTTTTAAGCAAACTCGGCCAAGGGCAAGAACCGATCCCACTGTCCTCCAAGGTCAATCACACATGCTCTGAGCATGTCCACCAATATCTGAATTATCCGCTCCGACTTCCCGTTGGTCTGTGGATGAAATGCTATGTTGATCTCTACACGGGTCCCCAATTCACTCTGTACTGCTCTCCAAAAATGTGAAGTAAACTGAGGACTTCTGTCTGAAATGATGGAAACATGCACACCATGCAACCGAACTATCTCCTGGATATAAATCTGGGTCAATCTCTCTGAAGTATATGTAGTCATCACAGGAATGAAGTGTGACGACTTGGTAAATCTATCTACAATGACCCAAACTGCATCAAACTTCCACAAAGTCTGCGGCAACCCAACTACGAAGTCCATAGTGATGCGCTCCCACTTCCACTCAGGTATGGTCATTTGTTGGAGTAGGCCTCCTAGCCTTTGGTGCTCATACTTAATCTGCTGGTAATTTAGGCATCTAGCCGCATACTCAACTATATCCCTCTTCATCCGCCACCACCAATAATGCTGCTTCAAGTCGCAGTACATCTTTGTAGCACCTGGGTGAATGGAATATCGAGAACTGTGCGCCTCCTCTAGGATAATTTCCCTCAATCCATCGACATTAGGAACACATAGGTGACCCTAAAGTCGCAGGACACCATCCTCGCCAATAGAAACCTCCTTGGCACTACCCTGTAGTATCGTCTCTCTGAGAACCAACAGGTGCGGATCATCAAACTGTCGAGCCTTGATCTACTTCAAAAGTGAAGACTGGGAAACAACGCAAGCAAGAACTCGGTTGGGCTCTGAAATATCCAACCTCACAAGTCTGTTAGCCAAGGACTGAATGTCCAAGGCTAGTGGCCTCTCCTCTGCTGAAATGAATGCCAAGCTACCCATACTCTCTGCCTTCCTGCTCAAGGCATCCGCGACTACATTCGCCTTGCCCGGATGATAAAGAATGGTGATGTCATAATACTTCAGTAACTCAAGCCATCTACACTGCCTCAAATTGAGATCCCTT